GAGAGGTGGGACAGGGACCCAGAGAGAGAGGTGGGACAGGGACCCAGAGAGAGAGGTGGGACAGGGACCCAGAGAGAGAGGTGGGACAGGGACCCAGAGAGAGAGAGGGACAAGAGACCTAGAGAGGGAGGAGATAAGCACAGAGAGATGGTGACAGACCAAGAGTGAAGGGGCATAGAAGCCGAGAGAGATCGAAGGACAGGACCAGGCCCTCACTCATCCCTCAGTCTGTGGGCAGAGAACTGACCACCACCCCAGAGGGAACCTGCGTGGAGGTAGAGGTGGGGGAGGCTCCGGAGCCCAGGGGTGGCCAGATGGCGGGCTCACGGCTGTGCAGGGACACTGTGGGAGACCTGTGAAGGGGGGAAGGGGCCAGTGACTCAGACACCACTTTGTGGCCCACAGGAGGTTTATTGCCCCCCCAAGACCAGCCCCGCCCCACCCCAATAATTAAAAAAGTAAGAAAAAGGCCCCTGAAACCACCCCCCATCCCCACCTCTCCCATTAAAATGTCATAATTTATGCAGAAAAGACAAGAGTCCAAGGCCAGCCCGGCGTCAGCCCATCTTCTTCCAGATGGTGAGCGAGGCGGTCAGCACGCCGGCCACGAGGATGGTCACCGTCTGCCACGTGGGGGTCCCGAAGTAGGAGAGCAGGCCGTCCTGGGACAGAGACAGTGGTCACTCCTCCCGTGTGGGGGCCGGGGCAGCGAGGAAAGGGGAGTGGGGTCTCAGGTTAAGCGGGCGCCAAGGGGGCAAAGCCTCTTCATCAGGACCCCACGGGACAGGTGCCCTGCGGGATGTTCAGGGCGGGAGGGCATTGCAAAGTGCAGACGCAGAGGTGGACAGTTTGAATCCACCAGATGCTCAGGGGAGAAAGATGGGCCACTCCCCTCCTGGGATTTATAGCCTCTGAAAACTGGCTGGAGGGTAGGGAGACTTGAGGGCAGTGAGTTAATCTTTACAGAAGCTGCCAGCCTCACCTTTTTTCCTGCCCAGCCCTGGTGGGTGGGGACCACAGAGCTTTTGGTTAACAACCAAGTGTTGGCACCAAGCACTGTGCGGCAGCTTCAACTCTTAACTCATTGCTATAGGAACGGAACCAGTTCCTAAGAGCTTACCCTCCCGGAGTGGTTTCAGAGGCCGTAAATCACATGGGAGGCGACTGCCCATCTTTCCTTGAAGGAACAGCTGGTGGATTTGAACCCACCAGGCAGGGCGGAAGGCAGTCCTTGAGTTAAGGGTCACAGGGAAGTCAGAGGACACCATGCGATCACAGGTCAAAGAGATCAGTTGACCTGGGATTGATAAGGGGCCGATGATGGGAGGGAGAGAACCAGGACTGGCCATTGTGTTTGGTGGTCCGGAAATGGGGATGGGGTGAAAGTCTGGGGGTTCCCAGAAGCATTGGGGCCTGCGGGAGGAGAGGGTCGGAGGCCTCACCCAACCACCCTGGTCCTGGATCCAGCCGAGCAGCCGCTCCCGAAGGAAGTCCATTGTCCAGCCCATGATGGTCTTGATGAGCTCGGGCACCTTGGTGCAGAGGGCCTGCGGGGAAGTGGGAGGGCCTTAGGGGCTGGCGCTTGGCCCCCCAAGTGCCTGAGGACAGTGGCTTCAAGCCACTCTTCCTGGCTGTCTGCCCTTTTCTGCCTACAATCAGAGTGAGCTTCGTAAATTCCAAAGGAAATGAGACTGCTCTGCGCTCAACAACTTTCCATACCTCCCCAGTACCCTTGGCATAAAGACCTACGAGAATAGGTGGGCACATAGGGCTTTGCAAGAAACCTCAGCTACATCACATTCCACCCTCTGGGCCTCCCAGACCTCCTCCTCCCTTTCTTATAAATTCTTCCTGGCTTTGTGCTTGCATTTTGCTTCCTGTAGGACTCAAATGTTCATTCATTCCACAAAAGTCAAATGGCTTTGCTCTAGAGGGCTTCTCTGACCTCCAGACCAGGTGAGAGCTCTCCTCCCCTCCCTTAAGGCCTTGAACTTGCCCTTCCCACATGTCCACAACCTCCACTCTCAATGGGCAGTTTGAATCCCCTAGCTGCTCCTCTTGTCTCCGAAAACCCACTGGAGCTTCAGCTCATCCGTTCTACTCAAAGGCCCTGAGATAGTGAGGTTTACTAACAAAACCAGTTGTCCCAGAAGCGATTCCAAACGCATGCCATTGTATAAAGTGGAACAGTCCATAGGAATCATCCGAGACCCTGCCAGAAGCACCAGGCCTGCCTTTCTTGGGGGACACGTCTGCATGAATTAGAACTGCCAACCTTCCCGTTGCCGGGCGCTTAACCATGTGCCCCAGAGTTCGAGGCTCTTGCCATCATCGAGTCAGAGCCAACTAAGAGGTTTTCAGCCCTGACCCTCCAGCAGGTTTTCAGAGGCTGTAAATTGCATGGAAGGAGGTTACCCAGCTTCGTCCCTCAGCAGATGCTGGATTTGAACCAACGTCCTTTGCTTTGGCAGCCAACCTCTCTACATACTGTCCCACCAGACAGAGCTCCCTGTTTGCTCCTGAGTCGTCTTTAAAATTTATCAATTTTACCACCTTACTCCTCTCTTAAATCCTTACAGTGGGCCAGAGAGCCCCTGAATCTACTCCTCCAGCCAACTCCGCTCTCACCTGTCACCTTTCTCCCCCTTTGCGCCCTCTTTCCGCCACAAGATGCCTCCGTGCTCCTCCTCAGCCCACCAACTTCAGTCATACCTCAGGGCCTTTGCAGTTGTTCTACCTGGATGCTTCTTCGTCCCACATCCTTACATCAGTGTGTCTTTATTTTGCCTTTTAAGTTTGACGTTAGTGTCACTTGCTCTTAGAAGTCTTTCTTGGCTACTCTGCTTGATCCCATCACCCTGCGTCCCTTTTGTCATTATTCAGGGGAGTCCAGGAGAGCAGGGTCCCAATCTGTACTGGACACTGCTCTTGTGTCTACAGGTGAGTAAATGTCTGGCTGTATGTAGCCTCACTGATGGGGTTGAATGAATAAATGAATTTAGGTGAGGATATTGCCTATGACTATCCCCCCCTTCTCTGTCTCTGGGATGCTGTGGGCATGAACCCTCAATGCCCAGGTTTTTTCCCAGGCAGACAGGCGCCACTCTGGACTCACAGCCCTTTGGCCCCCACCTTGAGCACCAGTTTGGTGGCAAAGTAGAACAGGGCGACAACGCGGCCCCAGTTGAAGTTGCCATCGGAAAACATCTCGGCAGCCACGCGGAAAAAAACCTCGCGGGGGGAATCTGTGTCCACAGCCGAGATCATCCTGCAGGAGAGAGGGGTGGCAGTGCTGGGCAGCAGTCAGGTGATGCGTGGGACCACGGCACCCACCCCAAGTCAGGCGAGAATGAAGAGGGATGGGGAGAGGATGGAGCTGCAGGCAAGTGGAGAACCAGGAAAACGATGCCCTGCAGCTGGGTGTCTAGGCTCTAGACAAAGCAGAAATTCCAGAACATTGAGGTGAACTGTGGGCCGGGACACCTGGGTGAGGGAGGTGAGGCTAGAGGGCCCAGCCAGGCAGTCTGAGAAAGGACTTGGTGGCTTGGAAGGTGGGAACTCGAGGGTTTGAGAGGAGGTGGGCAGGTGAGAGCTTGGGCTCCTGAGACTAGGAAAAGGGGCAGGGAGAAATCCTGGGTTTATGAGGGGGCATTGTGTGAACTATTTCAGGTGGCAGGGGTAAACATGACCACTTCTGAGAGAAGACCAGCGGCTAGATTCCTGGGTCAGTGGGAGGAGGGGCTGGAAACCGGATCCCTGGGCATCAGGCGAGGGAGCAGGAGCTTAAACCCTGGGTCTGGACTTCTGCCTCTGAGGGTGGAGGGCTGGGCAGAAACTCCCAACTCGTGGGTCACAAAATTGGGCCATGACTTGAGAAGCAGAGCTTGTACTGGCGGGTGTAAAGCGGGCTGGACCCCTGGGTCCCCAGGGCCACACCTCTGCAGCTCCAAGTTACTGTCCAGTTCGTCCCCAATGCGTTTGAGACATTCGCTCAGCCTCTTGGTGGATGGATCCGGCGGTACCCGCTCCAGGGCCAACTCGGGCGCCTCCCCCCCCATCCGCTTTGCTCGGTCCTGGATGAAACTAAAGCGTGGGAATGGAGAGGGGGGCGGAGAATCAGAAAGGGGCGTCACACCTCCGGTCCGCTCCACATTATAATCAGACCTCAAACTCACCCCTGAAGCAAAAGGGCCCCTGTCTTCATGATCTGCTCAGAGCTGGTGGGCCCTAGGGGAGAAAGGAGGGAAGAGGTGCGCCTGGACTCCTGGGTCCTAGGGGATCGGAGGACTGGAGAGGTTCATGGTCCTTAAAGGAACACAGGACTTAAAGACTATGGACTTGGGACTCTGGTAAGGTGAAGTGACTGGGGGGCCCCGGATAGCTGAGTCCCTGATGGAGAGAGTGGCTGCAAAGCCTGGCCCTGATCCTAATTTAATTCAAGGGAAGGAGGCAGTGCGAGTCTTCAAAGCATCCAGACCCCTGGCCCGAGGTGGCCCAAGAGGGACGCGCCCCTCCCACCAGCGACAGAGGCAGGAAGTGATGCCGGCGACAAGCCCAGGCCTGTCTCGGGGGCTTGCATTTTGGGGTCCCCAGACTCTCCGGGGTCAGAGGGCGCCGGGGCAGAATGAGATCGGGGCGGGGAGGGAGGGGAGGCGCCGAGGCCGCGGGGTGGGGGGGTGGAGAAGGGAGGGAACCGGGCAGACAGGGGCTTGGAGAGGCTTGGCAGCGCGCGCGATCGGAGGGGTAGTTTGTGCCGGGAGATTTTCCCGCGGAGTCCCGGGGGCCGGGCGGGGAGAGAGAAGAGCTCCTTGGGGGCCGGGTCGGCGAGGGGGCCTCGCCCACCTCCCGCCCACCCACCACCCGCCTCACCCCCGCCTCTGGGCTGCTCCCCGGACCCGTCCATCAGCGCCGCTCCCGCCGCCGCAGCCTCTCGCCGGGTCCGCTCGGGCGGCCGCGGCGCGCCCCGGGTCACGTGATCGCCCCACCGAGCGTGCGTCCATCACGTGGGCGCCCCGCAAAATGGCCCCCGCTGGCCGCTGCCCCTCAGCGCTGTCCAGGTCGCAACCGTGTCCTCGTCCCTTTCACCGCCCCCCCTCCGTCTCCTCTCCTTTCCCTGCCCCCTTCCCCCTCCCCTCCCCCAAGGCCCCTGGAGGAGGCTCGGCCTCTCCCGCGCCGCTGCCTACAGCGCCCCCTTCAGGACGGGAGTCCAGGCGCGGTGAGCTGCATTTGCAGGGGGCTCCCCAGTGAGGCTGGACCCCACGCCCCCTTAGAGGAAAAATGTTAACAGGCGAGTGCAAGGACTCAGGGTCACAGTGACCGCGTGTGCACACAAGATGCCTTCTGTGCCCAAAGTGTCCGTTCCTGTGTGTCAGAAGAAAAGCTCTAAGTGCAACCATGAATGGAAATCCAGAACCTCTAAATTTTCATTAATAATAAAAAAATTTTTAAAAGCAAAGCACGTGCACACTCGTGTCTATTGTGGCTTGGTTCACAGAAAGAGTTGGGAACCACCCAAGTGCCCATCAACAAACGAATGGAGAGAGAAGCTGTGGTATAGTCACACAATGGAATACTACGCTACGTTGAAAAAGAAAGAAATTGGGAGCTCTGGTGGCCTCGTGGCAAGAAGCTGCATTGAAATCGCTGAGGTATGTGGTTCAAATCCGCCAGATTCTTTGCTGGAGAAGGAGGAACATTCTCCTCCTGTACCAGTCAGATAGGGTTTGACGGTACACACACACAAAATAATAAAATTAAAAAAAAAAAAAAACTCATGAAATATACAAAACGGGTGACCCTGGTGGACATTATGCTGAGTGAAATATCTCAGTCACAAAAGGACAAATATTGCATAGGGCCACTTTTGTAAATGGGACTGACATTGGGGTTGAGGGGAGACTGAAAAGATGGGTTCAGTAATGTATACTGCATTGAAACAGATGAGGGAGAGAACTGTTTAAAAGGGATATGTGATTAGGTATTATTGTCATGACAGGAGTCCAGAATGAAGGCTGTACAGTGGAGTGGACTTGGCGGGGAAAGGATTGTATAACAATGAAAGAGTTTTATTTTTCAAAGAGAAGAGTGAACTGGGTGGGGGGAGGGGAGAAAAGTGCAACAATGAATGAATGGAAAACCTAAGTCTGTAAACTTTCACTAAAATTTTAAAAAAGCTACATACAAAAAAAACCACCAGTATGACCTTCAAAATGTGTTAAGATTAAATTTAGTGATAGGCTTGCAGGGTGTAGACACAGAAGCTGCTGGGGTGCTTGAGACGCACTGTTAATCTTTATCTGAGCGATGGTGAAGTGGGTTTGCTTGGACAGTGTCCTGGAGGAATTGCAACCAGGCTGGGTTTTCCTTGGAGGCAAGGATGGTGACACCGTCAGCAGGGGCAAATCCTTGGAAAACAGATGCCAACTGTACAACACAATAAAATAAGCCCTACCAAGCTTGTGGACTAGACTCTGAGATACATCACTGTTGCGGACCGAGGCTAAAGTAATAATAAGACAGACAACCAAGAGTGAGATAAGAGAGTAAAGACAGGGGCCAGCTGTTGTGATGACTGAAGCTGCCTCACGCCATGCCTCTCTGTGTACTTATTGAGAATCATCAGGAAGGTAAAGAAAGGATAATCCCAGGGGAGTAGGGAAAAAAAAAGGATCATGGGGAAGTCTTGGAGATAAGGCCAAGTTCCTTTCTGTTGTGTACCTTATGCTAATCTCAGGAGGGAAGGATTCAGTAAATACAAACTAAGAGTGATGTTGGCTCTCTTTTTTTTTTTCCCCTGCCTTAGGATTTATTTGTACAAATAACACAGGAGGACACCAGCCCCATGCAGATGGCAGCAGCCCAGGGGATCATACCAGTCCTTCTGTCCTCAAATGGAGAACTCAATTATGGAGCCTTTACAGGGGCCTTGGGTGGCACCTGGGCTGCTATCTTGGCTGGAGCCTGAGTTGAGGACTTTGCTGGAGCTTCAGCCTTCCTGTCAGCCTTGGCTTTGGATTTTGGCCGGTTAAGCCTGAGCCCCTTGGCAATGCGGACCCGAGCACGCTTCCCAAGCCTGGGATGGGCGATGTAGGTGAGTCGGCTGAGCTTGCGGTTGACACCCCTTGGGATCCTGGGCTTGACCTCTTTGGGCTTGACAAGAGCCTTCCCAGCCTTGACGTGTTCATCCACAGCCTTGGCGTTGTTGGCCTGCGTCTCCTTCAGGCCCTTGTTGCTGTGCTTCTTGGCAAAGCGCATGTTCCTCAGGAATTTGGGGTCTACCCCCTTAAGAGACTCATATCGTTGCGATCTTGGTCTCTCGATACCGTTTCTGTGCCATTTTCGGGACTGGTTGTGTGTGGTGTGGTTCTTGGACTTGGCCATGTCTGCAGCGTCACCACAACTCTTAGAGCCATGAGGTTAACTCTTTTTTTAAAACAAAAAAATTTATTATTTTCTCTAACTGTGTACTGTCAAATTGGATCTGACTGGTACAGGAGGAGATGGCCCCTTCTCCAGCAGAGCATCTGGTGGATTTGAACCGCATATCTCTGGGATTGCAGTGCAGCTTCTTGCCACTAGGCCACCAGAGCTCCCCTAATTACATGTGAGGAGACTGCTCATCTTCCCGCCCCACCCTCAGAGTGGGAGAGGGGACAAAGGGGGAAGCACGAAATGGATTTGAACCTTCTGCCTTTGGCTTGGCAATGCAGTTCCTTGCTACTAGGCCACCAGAGGGAGCCCTGAGGTTGACTCTTAAGGAACGCTGTAGTGCCTCAGGGTGAACCCCAGCTTGAATTATGCCTCCCTTATATCCTGATAGAGCATTTGGTTTAATATTAATAATAATTTGATATTCGGCTTCCCACACGTCGCATCTTCTTTGACAGATTTGAAAAGCAATCTCTTCCTACTCTTAGTCTAGAAACCACAGTCTCTTCAACATCATAGCAGGCAGGATCAAGCAGCACTGAAGGGCAGTTGGGGAAAGGCAAGAAAGCCACAGAGCCGTCACTTAGCCACTGTCATCCCTGTTAGGAATAGTGGGCCTTTAGCAGAGAACGGTGCCTCAGGGAACTTATGTGTTGTGCTGTTGTGTACCATGTTGTTGACGTTATTAGGTGCCGGTGAGATGTAGACAACTCACAGCGTCCCTATGAACGAATGGCCTGAGTACTGTTCATACACAGAGTTTCCGGACACAAGCCATTTCGGAAGTGGATGCCGCTCCTGTTCCAGGCTTGTTTTAATCAGGAAGCTCCAGCAAATACTGTCCACCGTGGGTGACCATTACCACGTTTGACACATCATAGGAACCACGAGTTCCCTCTGTCCAGCAATGCACAGAACAGTGCTTTACCACGGAGGAGAATGTTTGACAGGAAAA